GAAGAAGTCTGAGTTTTGGTTCTGAAGAGATATTAAAGCCTAGACATTAATTCACTACCTATTCCCAGTTGGCACTGTCTCTACATGAATGTGTGTGTACTTGTATTGTGTTTGTACAACACTGAAATGTGAAAAAGCTAGGACTGAGGTGAGGGGACAGGAGAGACAGCCATCAAGTTCTTGCATTTGAGATTATCCTGTCATTTGGAGCAATGCAGGAAGTGGAGTACTATTATCAGCCTTGTTGTGCTGGCTTTAACAACAGTATTGCAGGATTCAGGCAGGGTGGGGTGGGAGCTCTCTGTCAGCGTTCTATAAACCTAAACAGCACTCAAGTCACATATGCTGTAAGTCGGGGTGGGCAATTAATTTCTATAGGGGGCTACATGAAAAAACTGTGTTCGGGGGCCGAACCAACTTTACTTAAAAATAGGACCCCATTGGGTAGGTAGTATTAGGCCCCCAATTTGTGGGTAGTAATAGGCCCCCATTGGATGATGCCCTGTGGTGAACAAACTACAAGGCTGACATAGTTAACTCCCTAAACTTTTTAGGGAGTTAACTATGTGAGTGTTGTAATTCGTTCACCGCACGTGGGGGGGGGAGACCCAACACTGAGCTAACTCACCTGTCCTCGGGAAAAAAACCCAACACTGAGCTAACTCACCTGTCCTCCTTTTCCCCACTGCCTTCCTCTCTGTCTGTCTTCTATCCTGCGCAGGCGACATGATACCTTCCTCTCTGTCTGTCTTCTATCCCGCGCAGGCGACATGATGCATCATCACGTCGCCTGCGCAAGGATCACTTCCGGCCTCTTGAGCTGCAGGCTCCGCAGCCTGCGGCTCAAGAGTAACAGTCATAACTCGTGAGATCCCAGTGTTGGATCTCGCGAGTTTTGCTTACTGTTGTGCTGGATGACTGGAACCAGAGCTCCAGCTCACTCAGCAGCGACAGGTGGGCCAGACAGGAGCGGCCCGCGGGCCGCCCTTTGCCCAAGTCTGCTGTAAGTGAAACCACATAGGATGTGAATGGCAACAACTGTTGCAGCCGCCAGGTCCATTTTGCTACTTGATTGACTGCCAGAAAGTTTTTCCTTTGCTCTGCTCTGTCCTGCCATTATTACTGAGTTAGCTGATTTTTGCTTGGATTCTGGGTACATTTCCATTGTTTCCACATTTAACTGGCCCAGAAGTGGTTGCAGTGCCTCCCTCCAACTTTACATGCCCTGCTTCTGTGACATCATAAGGACCCATTTCTGTGACAACATGAAGTTCTCGTTCCTGAGATTTGGCCCTCAGATCTCAGAGAAAGAGATGCAACCAACCCTACACGGTAGAATTTATGTAGTGGCAACAATATTTTTTAATTTGTAACTGAAAAATATTTCCTGCAAAATCTGGTAAACAGCATATGGTCGTATTCCTTTTAGACCATTTAATTGTTTTCCGCTAAGGAAACTAAATATAGCTTAGCAACTGTGCTTGAGTATGACTAGAACAATGTCTGGTGTGACTTGTAGTATGATGTTCAAAACTAGCACAAAACCAATTCTTCAGTCATAGTTCATTTATTGTCCACATCAGAGATTTAAATATCACCCTAGTCATGAGTCTTTTACTTGGAAAACCACACAAAAATGATGAAAAAGGAAATTTGCTAGATTTGGAGTTTTTTCTTCACATAATTAGCTGATTCGTTCTTTCTATGAGAGTACTTTTAGCTGTCTGTGCATTCTAAAGGCTTCCCAAAATGACTTATTGCCATAGACATGCTTTTGAAAGAAGTGATTCTAATTACTCTCAACAAAATGAGTCTATGAAGAAAATGTATGAAAAAAATATTGCCCTTCCTGGCTCAGAAAAGCAGTTTGAGGAGACTGGCGGAGTGGTAAATTCTACCTTGTAACAGGATTAGTTTCCAGTATGCTTAAAGGAGGCAAAGATCACAGCTGAAAAGGCCCTCGTGGCGCAGTGTTTAAACTGATGTACTGCAGCCAAAACTGTGCTCACGACCTGGGGTTCAATCCCAGGTAGCCGGCTCAAGGTTGGCTCAGCCTTCTATCCTTCCGGGTTCGGTAAGATGAGTACCCAGCTTGCAGGGGGGGGGGTGCAATGTGTAGCCTGCACAATTAACTTGTAAACTGCCCAGAGAGTGCTTGAAGTGCTATGGGGCGGTATATAAGCAGCATGCTTTGCTTTGCTGTGCTTTTGCTTTTTTATTCCATACTGGATTACTACTGGCTAGTCTCCAGTGTTCTGTTCCTGGGCAAGCAGTAAAATATCTCGTGGTTTTCCAATTGCAAATGTTTCTGGAAGAGGCAGATTATCTAGATCCATTTCAGACTAGTTTCAAGCTTGGTGATGGAACAGAGATGGATTTTGTTGTTTTAGTTATGACCAGTGCCAGGATCTAGATAGGCAAGTGTGTCCCTGTTGGTTATGCGAGAGCTCTTGGTGGTTCTCAATATTATGGAATCCTTCTGGACTATCTTGCTGGGATGTGATTTAGAGGCACTGTTTTGCATTGGCTCAATTCCTTTGTGGAGGGGAAAACTCATAAAGTGATTCAAGGCGACTCTTGTTGACTCTTGGCTCCCTTGGGGCTTCATTCTATTCCCCATACTATTTAATATACAGGAAGCCACAGGAAAAAGTTGTCCAGATTTTGGGGATTTGATATTACCAACTTCTCTTTCTTTTTTTCTATCCAAATGCAGGGAAGTTGTGTCAATTCTAAACTGGTACCTGGTGTCAGTAATGGAATGAATAAGGGCAAATAAACTGAAATCTAGTCCGGACAAAGCAGAGGTGCTTCTGTGTTGTCAAAAGGCAGATCAAGGAATAGGGATCATTCTGTGATGGATGCAGTTACACTTAGAATGCAGTTACCCTTAGGGTGCACTTACAGCATCCCTGAAAACAGCTTAGGTATGCTCCTGGATTCATCCCAGAGTCTGGATGGTGGTCAGGAGTGTGCTCATGCAGTTAAAACTAGATCTGGATGGTGTTCAGGAGTGTGCTCATGCAGTTAAAACTAGTGTGCCGGTTATATCTCTTCCTAGATGTTTCTGATCTGGTCATAGTAATACCAGACTTATATATAGTCCATATATGTAATGTATGCATTCTACATGGGGATCCTTAGATATAGTCCATTTGGAATATGTAATGTATGCATTCTACATGGGGATGCCCTCAATGTGATGAAAATGCTGCAGCTAGATTGATGACCAGAACTGATTACAAAATTCCTTGCTAGAACAGCTTCCCTCACTACCAATCCATGTCTAGGCACATACTGTTACTGAAATAAAAAGCTCTCTATTACTTGGGTCCAAGCTGTCCGAAGGACTTCGTCTCCTCATATGAGAGCTTCTTGGAATTTAAGGTCTTCAGAAGGAAGCCTTTTGGTTCCCTCACTCTCATGAGCATGCCTGGTGAGAATATGGCAGAGTGCTTTCTTGATGGCTGCTCTCAGAGTAGGATTGTTCCACAGGAGGTCAGGCTGACCTCTTCTTTCCTGTGTCCTTCAGTTGACAGGCAGTGACATTTCTCTTCAGGCAGACTTTTAGCAAGTAAAGAGCTGCCATGAAAAGGTTTTTATAAATGAGGAGTTCTGTCCTTCCACAAGCACATAAAGACCTTTCACTTCAGGCAGGCTTTCTGTTAGTGATTGGCTGCCTGAGAAGGTTTTTGTAAATGGATTGCTGTGCCTTGTTGCTTCGAAATGTAGTTTTAGTATGTAGTATTTGTTTTATTTTTAGTATAATATTTCTTTTTAATATTTGTATGCTTTTAGCATTTAAATGTTATCTTTTAATGATGTAAGCCGCCTTGGATTCTTTAAGGAGAAAGGTAGGGGAAAATATTTTTCATAAAGAAATATACCATGGTTTTAAACTGTCTGTAATATGTCGTGTTTAATTTTTTATATTGCAGTTTATTATATTTCTACTGTCTTAACCATTGCCTTTCTAATTTTTTGTAAATTGCCTTGGGTATTGGAAGAAAGGAGGGGTATAAATAGAAGGAATCAATAACTGAATGATTGAAGATGGTATTATAGAACTGATTTGTAATTAGTAAAGATTGTATATTAGTACAGATTTGTATAAGGATATCAGTGGAAATTTGGTGCACAATCTATACTGTCTTAAAATCTACTTTTAATTGAAGGTGAAGTTTATACTGTCAATTCATTAAAAATACGCTTTATAGTTCTATGCTTTTAAATGTCAGTTTGCCTGTTTATGCCTAGCAAACTGATTCTGAATTAATTGGAAGAAAATGCTTTGTTATATCAGCTAAACTTATGTTGCTTAACATAATAAGTTGCATTAGAGTAAGCCTATAGAATCAGTGGGCATTTGGTGAAACAGCTCCTCCATAAATTCCATTGATTCAAGTGGACATACTCTGGTTGTGACTTGCAAAGCATACCAGTGATACCAAACAAATCTGGACAACCTCAACTAGAAGTTCCATGTTAATATTAAGTAGTATGGAATATAGAACAGAATCCTGAAGGCCGCCAAAGACCAGAATATTGAACAGGAGTACCCGAGCATCACTTTATGAGTATACTCCTCCAGTAAGGACTGGAACCACTGCAAAACTGTATCCCCAAGTCTCATCCCAGTGGGGTAACCAAAAAGGATGCCACTGTCAATATTAGGGCTCAGGTATATGAAAACTACCCCCCCCCCAAAAAAAGTAACAGCTCCAAGAGTACCCTGGCCATCTAATATGACTTCACAAGGGATTCACACAGGTAGAGGACTGTAGGAGTAACATCATATTGTTGTTACTGCATTTCACCACCAAAGTTCAAGTTTTTTTGTCCCAACCTTATCTTGTCACAAGATGCTTCCTGATAATTACATTTTAATTACATTTTTATTAATAATTTTAAAAATGTGTATACAGCATAGAAACAGTAATTTATCTTGTTGATTTCATTATGGGACTCATTAATTTTTATTTAAATATCTTTTGACAGGAAACATCTGCAGTGATGAAGACTTTTGCTACATCTGCTTCTGGGATTATTTTATTCCTTTTTGCTTTAACTCAAAGGAGCAGTGGTAAATGCATAGAATCAGATTCAAGGCCTGAGATGAACCTGAATGTAAAGTATCAACTCCCTAATTTCATTGCGGAAAGCCCAGTACAAAATATAGTACTGTACAAGCACCACTTTTATGTAGGAGCTGTGAACAAGATTTATGTCCTAAATGAAAGCCTTCACAATATCTCTGTATACAAGACTGGACCTGTTTTGGAAAACCCAGATTGTGTTCCTTGTACAGATTGTAAACCTAAAGTAAATCAATCTGATAATATTTGGAAGGATAACATCAACATGGCTCTGTTCCTAGAAACATATTATGATCATCAGCTCATCAGCTGCGGCAGCGTTGCAAAAGGAACTTGCCAGCGCCATGTCATTCATCCCAGTAATCCTGCTGACATTGGAAGTAACGTGTACTGCATGTATCCCAAACTGATTGACGAAGAAGCCGACCAGTGTCCTGACTGTGTTGTAAGCCCTTTAGGAACCAAACTTCTGGTCACAGAAAAGGAAAGATTTGTGTACTTCTATGTTGGTAACACTGTAAATAATTCATCTCAGCAAGACCATTTGCTACATTCAGTATCGGTCCGGAGATTAAAAGAAACCTTGGATGGGTTTGAGTTTCTCACGGCTTACTCTTATGTAGATGTCCTTCCAGAATTCAGGGATTCATACCCCATTAAGTATATTCATGCATTTGAAAAGGACCACTTTGTTTACTTTCTGACTGTCCAGAAAGAATCTCTAGACTCCCAGGCTTTTCACACAAGGATCATACGTTTCTGCTCTTTTGATTCTGAGTTGCGTTCATACATGGAAATGCCTCTTGAGTGCATTTACACTGACAGACGTAAAAAAAGGTCAACCAAGCGATCAAATGAGGTATTTAACCTTTTGCAGGCTGCATATATTGGTAAACCAGGTGCAGCCTTAGCTCAGGAAATGGGTCTTGATATTAACGATGATATTCTGTTTGGTGCATTTGCCCAAAGTAAACCAGACTCTTCAGAGCCAACTCGTAAATCTGCTGTCTGTGCAGTCTCTATCAAAACCATCAACGAATTTTTTGGCAAAATTGTAGACAAACAAAACATGAAATGTCTTCAGCATCTGTACAGGAAAAACAGCAAGTATTGTCTGAACAGGGTAAGTGAACATAGTGCTATTATGTTGCTTGATTCATCTAATCACCCTGCCCATCTCTACTCCCATTCCTGCTGAGTAGTCCATATTTCATTGCATTGTCTCATTGATTTCAGTTGTGAATACAAACTATATTTCAGCACTACCATTTTTATTCTGGCTGAAATCCAGGGCCAATTGTTCCAAGTTATTTAAATTACCCATTTAAATAAATAACAATTAATGATGCTTTATAGTCTGTGGTGATTTATCTTTGTGAGATGCATTTCCTGTAAACGGAATATGGACGTCACTGATGGAGGCTTTGAAAAGATAACACTTGTGCTAGAGATATAGCTTCCTTGAAGAAAAGGCTTGCATGAATTCAGTATAGAATGGTTTTCATAGTGGACCTTTATTGATTTACTTTGGTCTTTCTCGTAATATCCTTCAAGGCAGTTTAATATAAAATACCCATTTAAAATGGCATAGCTGCAAAGAACATAATTCAAAGAGCATCTTAGAACTGAAGAGTTGAAAGAGACCCTATGGATTGTTGAGTCCAGGTCCTGTCAAGGAAACACAGTGGGGGAATCAAACTCCCAACTTCTGGCTCTGTAGCCAGATACCTAAACCACTAAGCAATCCAGCAGTAATTACCAGTTAGAATTCAAAAATACCATATTTTTCCATGTATGAGACGCCCCCATGTATAAGACATCCCCCCCACTTTCTAACCCAAAATTAAGACATTTAAGTGGAGTTTAGCAAGTGTAGGGGGAAAGGGATCAAAGGCTTGCAGGATCACTTTGATCCCTGCTTTCCCCTCCACGTGTTTTTCTCTCCTCAGCTTACTTCCGTGTATAAGACGACCCTCAATTTTTAGTCTAAAGATTTTAGGCAAAAGTATAGTCTTATACATGGAAAAATACAGTAGGTATGACTGTGTCGAGTGTGCTTACTCCTTAGAAGTTGTTTGGTAACATAACCTTAAGTTGTTTTCATTGACACAAGCTATGGACATGTTACATTGTTCCTTTACTGATGCCAACTTTGCCAGTGGATGTGTGGGAAATGTCATCCCATGTTTTAATGGCTCAACCCATGAGTGCATTGGGTAGTTACCACCATGCTTTTAAAATTTAAAACAAACACTCAACACCAAGTGTTGCCTTTTAATTTTCAGCCCCATATGACAGTTCTGGTTTCAGCTTATGAAACAGGACTGGGCAGAAATGGGAGGTAGAACCTTGATATGTTTTTGTGCATGCATCCTATTACCACAGAGACAAAACAAATTCAAGGCTTCAGCTTCAGCTGATATGGGGAGGGGGTGAGTTGTCAAGTTAATCTCCTTTCCTCTCTTAGCATTGGTTTTAGAGGTAAGCTTTGTGCTCCAGAACCTGGTCTTTGGTCATCCTGGTGAGGATGGTGAGCAGGGATAATGAATACTAATCACATCTTGCTTGGACATAGCAAAATCCACAACATTAATTTTACAGCAACTTTCTGTGCTATGTAGGCAAGCTGGTGTACTAGAAGGAGACTATGGGTTACTCATTTCAGACGTGCGCCCTGGAGGTGCTCCATATATCAGTGTTGGCCGCTGCAGCATTGTATGTTCATCTGTGTTTGTAGTTTTAATAAGAGATTGGAGTGAAGCCCAATGTTAGCATGTCACCTGTTTCAGAGACCTGCAAGAGTCTCTGCCTCCATTCATTTCCACCCCAGGGCAATATGGAGAATGAAGACGGCAAGTATATTTGAAGCTTTGCTCCTTTTCCAATTCATCATCAACATGACACTGTTATTTGGGAGCCCTCCAGATAATTTCTGCTACCTCTTGCACTTTTCACTTTGCTTCTTGATAATAAAGTGGGGGGGGGAGAAGAGATGGGAGAAAGGTACAAACAAGTCCTTTTTCTTTTGAAATTGGGTTGTCAAGCACATTGGAGCTATGTTGCCCAGCACAGTTATTGACCTTATGTAACAGTTTTCTGCACCCCCACTCAGCAAGTAGTGGGAGAGTAGAGGCAGGCAAGCCCTTAGGGGAGAAAAGTTGATAATAATTTGTTACCGAGGGAAATGTTGCTTTGTAAAATCAGTTGGTTTTATGGTTTAGTTTTGTATATTTGAACTCTAAGATGACTTGAATCTTTTTTAGAAAAAGATCCCCAAGAAGCATAATAAACAATTGCTACTTTTTAAGTGGGGTGGCAGTTTAATCAACAAACAGGGATGTCTAAATATAAGCAAATTTATTCTCACTGAGAACAACTAGTTTAAAATAACACTCTTTTGGCTTGTATGGGTGATTGCTCTTATGCAGTGTCATAAAAATGAATTTTAGTTGGTGGTGGATTCTTAAAACTTCTTTGTATTCTTGGCTGTTCTTTTCCTCAATGTTTCATTTCCTTTATTCATTTTTCATTGAAGAAATATCAAACATTTGTCTGTAGAACAATTTTCCTCCCATAATCACTGGTTAGTGTTTGGCCTCTCCTTTTTGTTTTGTCTTATGTGTTGTTTTTAATCTCTTTTTATAACTGAATTGATCTAGTTTAATAATCTTTTCCTTCCAAAACATCTCATAAAAATATTGACAGAATCATTGGTCAGTTTCCACTTATTGCAAGAGTCTTTATTGCTGCAAGGAATCTTGAGAATGCCAAAATGTGGAAAACTTTAAGCCTCTACCAGTGCTTTACACAACACTGATATGCAAATCATCAAATATATTGATTTCAAGTATTCAATAGAGAATGCCCAGAAAATCTGTTCAATCATATATTTTGATTTGAACTTTGAATTTTGCCAAAGAGCCAAGTATTTGAAAAATCTGACAATCCCAAAAGGCTAGGAAGGATAAGGAAAGATAACTGGAGTTAGGTTCTGTCCCTAATAACTGGAAGCAGGGACAAATAGTGTGGATTCTCTAGTAGTCATGCTGATACCCATTTCAAACAGATTGTTTCAAATGCTGGACTCCACAAAAACGTTTGCAAAATGAAATTTCTAGTGTCCAAGTCGCCACAAGATTTTTCTTTCATTTTGCTCTAGTTCCTGAATAAAATGATGAATTATAACAGTTCCACAAATCCTCTTCAGTGCATCCATGTTGCCTTCTAGTGCATCAGCTATACAAGCTGAAAGAGCCAGATGAATATGATAAGCCTACTACTGACGCTAAAGGGAGACTCACACACACCCTTGAAATCTGGAGGGTTATTGAGTCCCATAGCAGCATTGTTAACTGTAACATCTTTGGCCAAATGTTATCCAGCCTATGAGTATTTCTTGGGATTCCCATTTTGAACTAAATAACATAAAATGGTTAAAATTGGAATAAGCCTGTGACCTTCTGACTTTCCACTACTTTAAGTGGAAAAAAATTAACCAGTTGTATCTTCCTTTTAAAGAATGTCCAGAAGACATGAGTGTTCCAGTGCAACTTACAGGAAGATGACTGGAGCAGGGTGTAACAATCCTACAATGTTTGAGACTACACTGAAATGAACAGCAACTGTTTACTCAGCCCACATCACCTAAATGTCCACATCTTTTCCCCATATATTCTGAAAAGTGTTTTAGTTCTTATGGAGTCAGATCTCCTTTCAAACATGTGCAGAGCTGAACTTGCTTCAAAGAACAAACAACACAGCAATTTAGAATAAATTATACTTCAGTACACAGTCCCACGAAATTCAAATTTAAAGTCTTGATCATACATTTTGTCACATTGTTTTTAACCTTTACATCTGTAAATACATTGTCTATAATAATGAGCATAATTGCCAAGAGCTTCACCTACACAGTCCACATCAATTTCAGGGGGACTTGAGCAGAGGCAATAAATATGGTTATTGTCCTTTTTGTAGCTCTTGATTTAATTTTAAAAGGAAGAGGAAAAGAACCACACAGTACTTGGGAAGAGGGAGGGAATACTTTAGAGTAGTTTCAGTGAAACTAAAAGATGGTAAGCAAACAATGCTGAAACCTTCTGAATCATTTCTTTGGCATTTTTTGCCATAGTCATGGAGAGACTGAATGCAGTGGCCTGGGCACACATTCAATTTTAGTCATTTTCAGCATGGGTAACTCAGATAAAGAATGTCAGTTCTTGCTCTTTGATCCAACTCTAGGCATCTTAAAGAAGAAACAGTTAAAATAATCAGACTACTGTTTTTAGGACTAGAATTCCCCCCCCCCTTCTTCATGGAAGGTTTGCTAGAGTTAAAAGAGAAAGGGAGAGAGGAATGCTTAAAGTCTCTCAATATCAAGAAGGCTCATCAAAGGAATTTCTATTTTTCTTTCTCTTTAAGTCACTCTGTCACTTTGCCATGGCATGATAAACTGGCCACTATTACTGTCAAATGAAGAAAAGATTTAGGAGTGTGAAATGAAGGCAGAAGCTCCCTGAAATGAAATCAAGAGAGACAGTGAAATAAACACACAGCAATATTTCTTTACAGAGATGATTGATGAGAAAAATTGAGTTATCTTGATTTTGTAATGGGAGAGAAAATAATTGCAACCTTCCATCAGGAAACCACAAAGACTTTTATAGGTTTGTTGTCCTCAGCATATGTCCAGTAATATTTAATAAAATAACCCCCACAAGGCACTTTAACTGAAATTGGTATTTTTAATTACAGATCATAGATGGAATCTAAATGGTTACATCTCCTGATTATAAACAAAGTGTGCTGCTTATATACTGCCCCATAGCACTTAATGCACTCTGGACGATTTACAGTTTAATTATGTAGGCTACGCATAGCTCCACCCTACACTGAGCTAAGTACTCATTAACCGACTTTGGAAGGATAGAAGGCTGAGTCAACCATGAGGTGGACAACAGAACCTGCTGGGATTGAACTCAAGATGTGAGCAAAGTCTTGACTGCAGTACGGTAGTTTAACCACTGTGCTACGAGTCTCCTGTACTTGATGTGTCTTCTTTCACTTGCACCTTTTAGGTAATAGCTTGTTACAACAGATATAGTGTGTATTCAGTCATTTTCT